ATCAATTAAAAAAAAAAACTTATGGGCAAAAAAAAAAAAAAAAAGGTTTTGCATTAGGGAATGTTTAAAGATCCTTTCAAATCTTAAAACAGTATGGAACAGTTGGATTCATCCAAAAGGGGGGAGAGTGGTCACATCAGTCATGTCTCTATTAATTTAAATGCAAAACTGAATGCAGTGTGTGCAGTTTCTGTCCAAAGTAACAGAACATGGATAATGTTTGGGTGAAGGTCCTGGGCTAAAGATCTGATAAAAGAAAATAATTAATTTGGTGAAACAAAATGATTGAGTTCACAGATGCACTGCAAATCTGTACGGTAAAAAAATATGGTAATTCTTTTGAGCAAAATAGTGGCAAAATGGTTATGATATAGGGGCCCGCATGACTTTGGGAAGGAAATATCAAAAGGGTTTCCCAGAAGCCCTTATGGGTTATGAGGAAAGGTGAACCTAGTGAGAGGGGACGGCAGGGATAGGGGGCAATGGGGATCTTGTAGAAAAGATGATGGAGATGGGTGGGGCCTTTCCAGCCTCAAGAGTGAAATGGGGCACTACCCTCATCAACCTTCAATTCGTCTCGCTTCTCTCTCCTTCTCCGTCAGAATGGGTGATCGTGGAGGATTCAATAAGTTTGGTGGTAAGTGACAAACTCTTTAAACAAGGAAATTAAGGGGTTTAAAGAGAGCCTGGTCAAAGAGGGAGGAGTGGGCATCTGGTTGTGTCACAGACAAACTTGCATTAAAAGAATACACTGAAACGAATGTGGTAACCACTTGGTGTGTGTGGTAAACAACTACGCTTTAATAGATTTAGCAACAGCATGCTCATTATGGATGGTTAAGAAAGAAATACAAACTCATTTGAAAACCGTCATAGAAAATAAAAAAAAATCTTTTGATATTATATAAAGGGATATTATATAAAATTATATAAAATGTAAATGTATATATAATTATATAAAATTCTGTAATTTACTTACCCTCATGGTGTTTAAGTCCAAACGACTTTTTCTTCTGTTGAACATAACAGAGAATTAATTTAGACATAATTAGAGAATTTAAATTTTTGGGTGAATTATTGCTATTATTTCAACATTCTTTCTCTTGTTAATGTCGCTACACACTTCAGAAAATATTCTCAATATAAGGAAAAAATATAAGGAATATTTAGTAATAGCTATTGAGCAGACTCAGAAACATGGTACAAAATGGTTGATACGTGATGGTTTTGGTGACTCAAAATGGATTGTTGTGGTTTATTATGCACTTTTATCAAAAAGCACCATTCTTTAGTTGATATGCAAAAAAAAAAGTCAGTTGTGTTGCAAAAAATACTTTTTTTAATGCTTGCACCTACAGTGGCAGTATCGTTTTGTGGTGGTTGGACAGAAAAAGTGATACACACATACCTTTATCAGCTTGACTGTTCTTACAATGCATGTAATGCCTCCAGAAGTCTGGGAGAATATTGGATATTAAAAAATATTAATCAATTTGAATGAAAAATTCCTGTACCCTTTACTGATTTTTATTTTACGGGGCCAACAACCACACTAAAATAATATTGTTCGAATTTACCTTGAAGAATCCAATACATTTTTTTTAAATTGTTTTATTTATTTTGAATCTCACTTTTTGTTGCACCCAACTTGTACTCTGAGCACTTTTGCTTTTTAAAAGGTGGATTCAGGTGGCCAACAACTGGATTCTAGAGGTTGTTCAAATCCATTTGTGTCTGGTGGTTTTAGTGTTTAGTACTTGTCTGATAAAATATGATCTAAAACAACAGGAATGGAGACCTGGAGATAGATAGGGGTCAATATGACAAAGCATGTTCACAATATATAACAATTTGGAACATGCGTAACTTGTTCATAATTGTTTGAACATGACCGCATCGGCTGGAAACCAACATGCTTGTGTTCTCCACATGGTTTCTAACTGGTAACTACGTCGAATGGCATCTAAAGTTATAACAAGGTGTTGAAACTTATATGGCTAGCTCAAATACAATTTGATATGCAACCAGATCTGGTGAAAATTGTCATGGGTTTCGTATGGAAAGAATATTTGCTGAAGATGGTGGATTGTATGGTGAACTTCAAGGTGATTTCAAAGCTTGCTACACTTTGGGGTTAAGGAACATCTGGCTGTCTAATACAGTGAGTCATGGTCATATTTCCTAATACTGAAAGTACAACATTTGGGTTTCAGGGATTTTTTTTTTTTTATGTCTTCAGATTAGACTGGTAAAATGTGTGAGATGGTGGTTCATCGTTGATCATCGTAATCTTCTTTAAACGTCAGTGGTGTTGGTAACTATTCTAATGGTTTGACAAATTACTTGCACTTGTGTAAAAGTTGTGAAAAATGGTTGCTTAACCTGGGAAAATCTAATATGTAGATGTACTCCGAGAGCAAAAGCAATAACACAACCCAGTGTCTCACTGTTTGGAAATCTGCTTTCGTGGGGTGGAGAATGAGAACCTTATCATATGGCCAATAAACGTATGGTCATTGATGAAATGTGTCCAAATGTCACGTATTACTGTGATGTGCAGTGCTGATGATGGAGTTACTCCTCATTAAAAAGGTGAATGTTACTGGTTGCAAAGTGGTATCCAGTGGTATTTTAAGGTGGAATATTAAAAGTTGTCCTTATTAGCTGTGCATGTTTTAAAGTTGACCAAATACCTACAACTAATAAAGATGACAAGAAACCAACAACAACAAAAGACCCAATCGCTGCTCTTTGCAAAGCTGACTGTAAAAGTATGGTTGAACTAGACGGTTATTGCATGGTTTCCGCTTTGCAATGAGGGATAAAAAGCCACTACATGGAGTTGTCTGAGATGTATTTCGGATTGCCTTTTGAGTATAAATCAAGCTACAACTATTGGTATGGGAGGAAAGAATCTCCCACTTAAGACCTCGGACTTATTCAAATGTTGGCCGGTTTTCATCAGTTTTGAAAATGTGTAGTGTTGGTTGGTGCTTGTGGTGTTCCTCTCTCAAATATCCAGCTACAGATTTGTATCAGGTCCTGTTTTCTAAATTTGGAGCATACATTATATATAATTGATGGTACAGAAGTATATGACCCCCAAAATGATTAAGAATAATAATAAGTAATATAAGTGTGTGTAATTTGTGTACATATGTAATATTAATGACTGTTCCTTTCACTTCAAAGGGCCCAGGGATCATGGAGTTGGTGGGCCCAATAGTAAGTCAAAAACATAATCGTATATTACTTGCATTAATAGACCATTTTCCAGCCTGATTATAAATTTCTGATTTTTTTATTTTTTTTATTTTTTTATTTTTTACAGTGCAGGAGCAGGATAACTCTGACAACAACACCATCTTTGTACAAGGTCTTGGAGACGACTATACCGTGGAGTCAGTAGCAGATTTCTTCAAACAGATCGGCATCATCAAGGTGGAAAAGCGAGAGAAAACTCCCACTGTGTAGCAACTATCTTTGTATAGTTCTCCTTGTCTTAATATCATTTTATTTTCTCACACAGATCAATAAGAAAACAGGATTACCCATGATAAATCTGTACACAGACCGAGAGACAGGGAAGCTTAAAGGGGAGGCTACTGTTTCCTTTGATGACCCCCCTTCTGCAAAAGCAGCCATTGCTTGGTTTGATGGTATGTTGGTCAGAGTAGATCACACTAGTGCCTTTTCCCTAAAACAAGTTTGGAGTCTGTTTGTTTTCGCTTATTTTTTGATTTCCTGGACATCTAAGTCACATCTTTCCTCCTCAGGTAAGGATTTTAATGGAAATCCTATCAAGGTGTCCTTCGCTACTCGCAGAGCTGAATTTGGACGCGGCGGTGGCAGCATGAGAGGTGGTCGAGGAGGTAAGATTATATCTTGCTGTGGTATTTTAAGTCATCTCCTTTTTTCTTTTAGTCTTTGTGTTGTTTTCCTGACATGGTTTTTTCCTCTGGCAGGGCCAATGGGCCGTGGGGGATTTGGGGGTGGAAGAGGTGCTGGTGGTGGTGGTTTCCCAGGCAACAATGGTGGCGGTGGCGGCGGTGGTGGTGGTGGTGGCCAGCAAAGAGCAGGAGACTGGAAATGTTCAAACCCGTAAGTGTTGGTTTGTAAACTCTTACCAAATTGTGAAGCGTTTACAGTTACATAATACAAGTTATATATAGTACACTCACGTAAAGTATTAAATGCATATCAAATCTCAACTGGCGGCTTTAACATTGTGTATTGTTGCTTTTCTCTTGTGTGTGGGCAGAACTTGTGGTAATTTGAACTTCTCATGGCGAAATGAGTGTAATCAGTGCAAAGCTCCCAAACCGGAGGGAAGTGGAGGAGGAATGTCACCGATGGGAGGTAAAGAGAAACATTTCTGCGAAAAAGAACAAGATGCTGCAGTCGTATGTGACTGAGAGAACTCAGTGGATTGATTGCTGCTTTAATGTATCTGATTTTGTAGGTGGTTTTGGTGGAGACAGAGGCAGAGGCGGTTTTGATCGAGGTGGTTTCCGCGGCCATGGTGGCGATCGAGGGGGCTTCAGAGGAGGGAGGGGAGGTGACCGGGGAGGATTTGGACCTGGCAAGATGGACTCACGGTGAAATTACTGATGATTCACGCTCTTGCACATGTTAAAATGTTATTTAGTAGAAAACTGATTTTCAGTATACAGTATTCACCAGTGAAAAATGTGTTTCATTGCCTGCGTTGTGTGTTTTTCAGGGGTGAACACAGACATGACCGCAGAGACCGGCCTTACTAATGGGAGAAATTCTCTTTTGTCCAAACAAGACTTTAATTCGATGTGGGACCAGTATTCACTCCACTTCAACATGTATTACCTTGTTGCTCATGGTTTGTGTTGTATGTTGTCAAAAATTTGTGTTTTTGTTTTAGTTCTGCTAATATTATTTTTTTGTATTCTCTCTATTCTGATATTCTTAATCATGAATTTTGCGTTTTTCCTCTCTGAATTTGCTGGTGTTTAGATCACAGTTGTGATATTTGTGCAATTTATTAAATGTACTTTCTTTGAAATTTTTTGAAAACTGTGGTTTAAAATGAAAATTTTTTGAAAATAGCAAACTTGTAATGTGGCATTACTTTATTTCAACATCTTTTTATCCTATTTAAGTGCTTTATCTATTGCTTTAAGTACAAAACAAACAAACAAATGGTTTATCTCTAAATGAATATTTTTTAATTACAGGTTTATTATAGTCAAGTAAAACACAAACATTTATTACTTTTCATTACATTTATTTTCTTTAAAATAAACATTAACTTAAATTCATTTCATAATAAATTCACTTCATTTCAGGTGTTTGCCAAGGTAACACTAAAATAATAAAAAATTAAACTGAATAAAAACTATATTAAAAAATAAATAGATAAAAATTACAACAAAATTACAAAAAAATGAAAATATAAAAACAAAAACAGTCAAAATATCAATAAAACCTATCATATTTAAATATTCAATTATACGAAAACAACTGCTTAAAGATTAATGGCACAACGTTTTCACAATAGTAATTAATTTATAGTTTAAATAATAGGAAGGCATTTCATTATGTCAAGTGACAAAAATGATGGTGAGCTTGAGGTGCATCCCAGTTACTCAGTGCACACTTGTCTATAGAGGACCAGATGGCTATAAAAGTGTAACATGACTCCCCTAAATAACGTTATTTCTAATCAGTCCTCCTAGAACATTGAAGCTGATACAGGCACCAAAACCACTGTCCTTTGAAAGGTGAATGAAGGTGAGACCACAGCACAACAGTTCAGTTCTTGAGGAAGTGTGAACTCTCAGACCTCCAACTGTAACCCCAGGAGTCTCTTAGGTTGTTAGGAGCCAACAAAAACACAGGTAAGAGAAAGAGATTATACTTACCTGCCATTATATTCACTACCTTATGTCGCACTATTAATACCCTTCCATTTTATTAAAGAAAAACAAACTATTAATAAATGTTTAATTACCTGTGAGATTGTAGCAGCACCACCTGCTGTCCACTAACGTGTAGGGGTTTCTGAACTTGTGGATAGAACAAGTAAGAATAAAAAAATAATAATATATGTAAAATGAAATGAAATTGAATAATAATGACTAAAAATATAATCTGAAAGCTCGGATATTCTCGAACTTGTGTGCTATGTATAGGCTATATAGTATTTTCTCTCCGTATCTGAAACACGCATGCACCAATATCGTTACAATATGTTGGACAATGATTAATAATCTCATAATTTATCATAATGCCTCCCAGGAGTCTACAGGGGCAAAAATGCTGCATGGCAACTTTATATATCATACTTTTATATTCCTTTGCACTGTTTCTTTGAGTAAATTATTATATTGCGATTATACGAGTTATTTAGAAATACGAGAAAAAGTATTATTTTTTATTATTAAAGTTTATTTTGCAGCTCGTTTTACTCCCAAATTATCGGTCGTAGTAGTTGTGAGGAAATTGTTTCTGCGCATAACTCATAATCCATGTGCACCCTTCTTCTAAATTTGTCGTTTTTACCGTTCAATAAAGTAAGTATTATTATAAATTTGTCGTGCAATTGTTATGCATCTTAACAAAGGTCTTGCAATATTTACGAATAGAAAATAACCTTTTAAGTACACGCAGCTATATCAAGTTCGCACTTCGATGACGTAAAAATGAAACGAAAATGCAGATTCGCCATAAAGAAGTCACGCTTACATCGGTCAAACATATTTTGTGCTGTTCTGAGAAAAGTAAAGGCAAGAAAATAGTTTAATGTAAATGTATATTACAATTTTAATTTTCATGAGAACAAATACCCACAATCTATTTTAACGTTATTGGTCAAATAGTGCATAGCAGAGGCACTTTCACAATTATGTGGAAAGTGCGAGTGCCAATGCAACGGTTAGTATTTCTAGTGACTGATGGCGAGCAGGCGAGGCTCTCAGGTTAGTTAAGCGATGGCCGCTTACTGTATTATGTTATTCTTTTAATACATTTCATTTTCTGGCGGAATTTAAAGACGTATGCCGCATCGATATAGCACCGGAATACAAGCGACGCCGTTTTAGACCAGATTTAGGGCGCATACTTCAAAACGGAGCTAGATTTTAACTAAGGATTGTGTGTTTTTCTGCGCCGATGCAGGCCTAGCTGTAGCGAGCTAGCGGCTGCCGAAGCGGGCAATCCTCCTCAAGACGCGCGCTCCGTTGTGTGAGTCTTTTGGCACACCGTGTAGCAATATTACTTTTTAGTTTTGGGAATTGGTTTGATTTCGTTTGCTAGAAGTAATTGGCATTTGCCCTGTACTCTACTGTCACATCATTTTGAAGTTGAACTTCAGCTAGCTCGCGCTGGGAGCAGCTAGCAGCTTCAGTGTTTATTATGTTAGCTTGTTGTTGTCGCTGCTAGTCGATGTGTCAGATAGCATTTGTTATACAAAAACTGCAGTGCTTTACGTTTATTACTCCGTAAAACACAGTGGGGAGGTGTGCTTTTATTTCCCACGCTGTATTGCGTGTGATAAATGTGACAGTTTAAGTTGAATATAGCATTTGTCTAACTCAAATATAAGGGACGTAAAATCAACTTGACAGATTGACTACAAAATATTAGTCAGTGTCTTAATAAAGAGGTGACAACAAATTACAGCTACCTAAATACAGACCTCTTTGTGTGTGTTTTTATATACAAAGTGAAAACTTTGTGGAGCTGTATATGTCACATTGTTTGCTGTTATTGTTTTGATGATTACAGTGTGAGGTTTTCAAGATTGTAGTGTTTGCTGCTCTTTTGCATGTGGACACTGTCAGATTGGTGAAATGAATGAGCTATAAGTGAAAAGCTTTTCTTACTGCAACTTCAACATGAGTCGTTGAGTGCTGTGAGCATCTGCACAACATCTCATTCTGGTCTCTTTCTCTGCAGTGAAAACTCTTTTATGAAGTGAACTCACTTAAAGAGTTTAGTAGAATTTTGCCAGGAAAAGTTTTAGAATTTTTTATCACGTTAATATAAAAAATCTTGTGCGATATAACTTGTGTTTGTTTGTTTGCTGGTTTTTATTGTATTTGTTATACTTGTATTTTTTAAATGGTGTTTGCCATGAAAATAAGCCTTTGATGCTGACATGGCATTAAGTAAATATATACTACTACTACTACTACTACTTTCTCTGCAGTGATAGCATGGATCCGGACAGTGGGGCGGACACTCAGCAAACTCTCAGTCTACAATGGAAGAGCTATAAGCTAGTACAAGACCCTGCTCTCCGACGGGTTACTCAGAAAATCTACAGATATGATGGGATTCACTTTAATGTACAGGTATGGACATACATAATACACGATGACTGCCAAACGGAGCATACTTAAACACATAAGTGCATACTGATGTAAAGTCTGTGTGTTCTGCTTGTTTTTAGGATTCAGGATTCCCGCCTGTGGGGGACTTGCGTGATCCAAGACCCCGCAGAATCTGGTCTAGACACACAGAGCTGTCGCTGCCAGTGCCCAAATTTAAGGTATGCCTCTCTTTTATTATCATTTCAATTTATTACGCTGATTTTCTGGTGAGCTCTTTGTGCTTGTCTGTTTTTGTATTGTACATGCTAAACCTTTTCTTCATTTTCTGCTTGTTCTTCATAGTTGGACGAGTATTACGTAGGTCCTATACCACTTAAGGAAGTGACGTTTGCGAGGTTGAATGATAACATCAAAGAGCCGTTCCTGGCAGAGATGTGCGCCAAGTTTGGTGAGGTTGAGGAAATGGAGATTCTGTTTCATCCCAAGACTCGGAAGCACTTGGGCTTGGCCCGCGTCCTCTTCACCAGCACTAGAGGGGCCAAAGACACCGTCAAACACCTGCACAATACTTCTGTCATGGGAAACATTGTCCATGTCCAGCTAGATATCAAAGGTGTGTTTCTCTCTTGATTGTTTTTGATCATTAATATTTTGAGGTATATACTTTCTACATACACTGCTGTTCAAAAGTTCAGGGTCAAGGATTTTTTTTGTTTTGGAAAAAAATGCTTTTATTCAGCAAGGGACAAAGACATTTGTAATGTTACAAGAGATTTTTATTGCAAATAAATTGTTCTTTTGGACTTTCAATTAATCAAATAATCCTAAAAAAATTCTATCATGGTTTCCACAGAAATATAATGCAGCACAACTGTTTTCAATGTTGCTGATCATTTAAAATGTTTCTTGAGCACCAAAGCAGCATATTACAATGAAAGATTATGTAACGCTGAAGACTGGCGTAATGGCTGCTGAATATTCAGCTTGGCAATCACAGAAATAAATTGTAAATATGTCTCTCAGTATTAGCTATATTATTAATCAAATAAATGCTGCCTTGGTGATCCTAAGAGACGTCTTTAAAAAATATGATTAGATGTTTAATCCTGATTGCTCGTCTTTCCCCCTGTTGTAATTTTAAATGACTTTTGCCTTCATCTAACTCTCATTAAAAATTAATCTTTAAAACCACCAATAATTTAATAACATTATTAAATGTAATCTTAAGAAAATCTCTAAAGGAGTATCAATTTTTCATACTTTACATTATTAATTTGTAGCATTTAAAATGTTTGATTTTAGTTTTTAGGTATTTATTATACATTTATTTAGATAATACAGAATAAAATTGTAATATCCTGACGAAGGCTGTGTAGCTGTGTTGTTCTACACTTTCAACAATTTTAATGACTTAGCCCAGTTAATTAAAGGCATTTTATCTTTATTATACGAGTGCCTTGGAGTATTTAATCTCTCCAATTTCATATTTACCTCCAATTATCCAAACAGCACCAGTGGCTACATGAAGAGACCAGTGCAGGATTCTTGCCTTCTGTTGTTTTGCAAAAATTGTAATATGTTTGCATCCCTGCTTGCAACGAAATGTCAAAATTCATTTTGGAACAATGCTTGTTTATATCCTTCCATCTCTTAATTTCTTGAAAATATGGAGCATAGTGATAATGAAAAGTGGGAATGTCCAGCTTTGCATGATGGAAATAAATGCACCACACTGTAGTTGAATTTATATTGTGTGTGTTTTCTAGGCCAACAGAGGATGAAGTACTATGACTTAATAGTGAGTGGCTCATACACCCCTCAGACAGTGCCTACTGGAGGCAAAGCCCTTACCGAGAAATTTCAGCCCCCAGCCCCGACTCAGCCAGATACGGTGAGTACACAAACAAACCTTAGCTCAGCCACACTGGAAAGAACGCTTTGCTTTCCTATAAGTGTCTGCGGTTACCAGCCAAAGTTTCTTGGCGTCCTTGAAGAGCAATTGCCTTCCTTGGATTGAGTTGTCTTGTAGTTTATTCTACACATTACAGTCACTCTCAAATACCCTGGTCCGTATTATTATCTTGACCACAAGTCGACCACAAATGTCTGAAAGACAAATAGCCATCAAGCCTCTCAGTGCATTTAGATTTTCCAAATGCAGACGAAACTGTTGTGTCTGTAGAAGGTGGCTGCTGGCATTGAGACTTTTTCAGCTTTTAACTCAATATTAATTGGCCCTTTTTTACCTTGTGTACCAGCATTATGATATTTTGTTTCCCAATGTGTTTCCCTCACTTATCTGAAGGAGTTTTGGATTGCTTTAAATAATGTTTCCTCAAGTGATCAATTATGTAGCCACACCCTTGAAATAAAACAATAATAGGGGATTTTATTGGTCATGCTGTAAGACTTTTTTTTTGTCTTTATTTGAGACAAAGGGATTTTAATTGCTATGTTCCTAAATATTCATTTTAAGTTGTCCAGGCACAGTTCAGGGACTTACATTTTCATTTTCTGTGGGTCCTGTTTAGCACAGTATTTACCATATTTTTATTAGAAATGCAGCGGTATTAAAAGGAAGGATGACGCTGATAAAGATAATTATTTTCATGGCCAATAGCTCATACATTTTTAATATTAAGGCTATACTTAAAAAAAAATAAATAAATACACTACCAACTATCATCTGTCATCGGACTCGGTAAGATTTTTTTTTTAAAGAAGTCTCATTCACAAGTCTGTATTTATTTGATCAGAAATACAGTAAAAGAGTAATGTGAAATATTATTACAATTGAAAATAAGTGTTTCCTATTTTATTATATAAAACAATACGTTTGAATACAATTTGTGCTCAATATTTGTGGAAACCCCGATTCATTTTTTTTTCTTTGAATAGAAGTTTCAAAAGCGTACGTTTTTTGAAAGAGAAATCTTTGTATGGTAATGTAAATGAGCAAAACGCTACTGAATGAGAAATATGAATTTTTAGATTACGTTATTAGTGTTTAAAGATTCATACAATTTTACACTGATAGAGTTTAAGTGATTGTTAAATGATGGCGAAGAAATGTGGAAACTACATATATGTAGTATCAACTGTTGTCTTCTTTTGTTAGTCGTCTGATATCCGGCGGAGGCTCTCCACAGATCAGATGGCAGCTCCTGCTGCGCCTCTAAACTCTGGCAGCACCACCCCCTGTTCTGTGGACACTGGATTTGGAGACCAGCGCCTAGACACCCCTCCATCCTCTCTGGGAGGAGCTTATACGCCGGGTTCTTCTGCTTCTTCACAGGGCGGCGGCACCCCTCACACCCCTCGCTCTGGAACCCCTTTCTCCCAAGACTCTGGATTCTCTGTGGGCAGGTTGGTTTCCAGAATAACATTAAACCTTGAATAGAAGTTGCTTGTTTCAGTTTCTTTAGAGATTTGAGAAAATCCTTTTTTTTCAGGCACAGTGGCTACAGCAGCACTCAAAGTTATCCCCAGCAGGATATGCTTCCATCTTCCTCCTGCTCCTCTTCAGCAGTCTCCTCATCATCAGGGTTTAAGCCCCCTCGCTTTCATGACGACTTACACGCTCCACCTCCGCAAGAACCCTCCGTGTTCCACAGGGGTCGGCCGGGATATCCTCCTTCAGCGTCCTTCAGACCTAATGAACCTCCCTATCCGTATCCCAGTGTTGGAGGTTCAGGAATGCAAATGCCGCTGCATCCACCCATGCCACCTCCAGGGCCTCAGTTTGAGCCGCCACCGCTGTCCGACAGAGATCGAGACCGAGATAGAGAAAGGGGACACAGGGATAGGGATCGGGAGAGAGACTCAGGAGGGCACTATGGAGGTGGGATAAGCTCCCGACGTTCCTCTTACCACTACCAACAGGAAACAAACTCCTCGTCCACATCCAAATCCTACCATTCACATCACTCGCATCATGCAGATCGGCGGGAGGACAGGGACGGCAGGGGCTACCGGCGCGACAGCTCAGGCTCCCGCTCGGGAGATCATGGAAGGCATCGGAACCACCATCACTCCCACAACCACCACAGCAGCGGCGGAGGTGGATCGAGCCGGCGGAGAGGCAGCAGAGACCGGGAATGGGAGCGAGACAGAGAAGGAGACTATAACATCTCCGATCCACGTTATGGAGGCCACTCTGACTCCAGCCACAACTCGTCCAATAGCCTCTCCCCTCCCTCTGCCACCTCCTCTTATGGAGGACCTAAAGACCTGTCCCCCTACGACACACCTTCTTCCTCCCGGTTAGAGCCCTCGCCGGCTTTCCGTCCTCAGCAGGGTGCAGGCGAGAGGGGTTTTGGGATGGGAGGAAGTATGGACAATGACTACCGTGCTCATTCTCACCTCACGCCCCTGGCGCCGCCACCTCCTCCCCTCCCACCAGCCTCCGTCATCGCAGCCGCTGTGGCTGAAACGCTCGGCTCTCTTGATTTTGGTCAGGACAGTCCCATCCCAGAAGAACAGTGGACCAAACCCAAACGCTATCCCAGCACCCCGCCCCATCCACCTCAGACACCTCCGACCTCCTCGCCTCCTCATGCCTCAATCCCGTCATCCTCCACCTCTCCATCCTCCACCTCCCTGCCTCACCACCTCCCCTCTTCGACAGCATCCCTCTCTCCGCCTCCTCCACAGCGTGACTCCTCCCCGGAGCCTGACTCCACCAATGAGAGCCTGCCATTCATGCACCACAGCAGCAGCTTGGACTCACGTATTGAGATGTTGCTGAAGGAACAAAAAGCCAAGTTTTCTTTCCTTGCCTCAGATGATGAGGACGATGAGAAGGAGGAGGACCGAGAGAGGGGTAAAACAGGCGAGAATGCAGATGATGGGGGAAAGAAACTCAGAGAGGAGAACGGTGAAAGGCCTAGTCATAAGAGACAAGGAGAGACGGAGGGAGGCCAGCAGAGGAGGAGAGGAGAGAAAGATGGACGCCGCAGCAGGGGCAAAAGGCAAGGTGGTGGAGTCAGTGAAGGCAGGAAAACACCTCCAGAGGTGGCCTCTTCCACTCCCACTACGCACAGTTTGGTGTCAGAGTCTCTTCAGGGCCAAATGCCGCCACCTCAGGAGGAGCACACAACCTCTGACTTACACGGGGCTCCACACACCCCACCCACCTACAATGGAGAGGCACAGGTGAGACCTACTTATTACATGTTATTATTCGCCTTATTTTTAAAATAAGACTAGGTGCTATCATTTGTAATTTGCTTGTTGATTCTGGTGTCATGGGCCACCATTTCCAGGTCCAGACACTATTGGATCCCAAAAGTGCATGTATTTAATCACGTTTTGCTGTGGTACTACCAAAAAAAACAACAACAATTCAAACCTTTATCTCCATTCTGAATACAAGAGTGATTTGTCATTTATCAATTGTTCAAATGTTGGTGCCTGGGACATCGTTAACCTGGAGACTAGTGTACACCAGACATTTTAAAAGCTAACCTTAAATGCTTGATGTTGATGAAAAGTACTCATTAATGACTGTTATGCTTGGAAACCGTAATAACACCAGAAACGGTATTCAAAACCTCAAGACTCAACCAGCAAATAGCATCTAATTAATCAGAAGTCTCGTCCATTCACAAAAAAACCCTGACTTCTGCATTGAAAATTAAAGTGAATATATTAATGCTAAATTACAAAATGCTCTGAGATGTTCACGTCCTGAGACTCATTATTAATTTCTGTGGCAATGCTCAGCAACAAACTGTAAGGGAGGCATTGCCTCTCATCCTTTTTTAAAGCTGATGTGCCCATTTATTTTGCTATTATAACTATGCACTATTATTGTATGGTTAGTTGTGTTTATTTGCATTAGCTTTGTTTTTCCTGCCATTCATGACCCTATCAGAACAGACTGCGACCCATTATTGGTAATAAAATTTTTTATTTTTGATATAAAACAGTATTCTGTGCAAAAGTAGCTTCATAACTACCTTTAAAGGGTTAGTTCACCCAAAATATGATGTGTATCATTAATGATATATATATATATATATATATCTTGACTCAAGTCATTTTCTAACAGGGTTCCAAGACCATAAGACTTTCATTTATCTTTGAAACAAATTAAGTTAATTTCAATGAAATCCAATTAACTTGCTTACGGTTGATATTTAAAAATATCTTCATTTGCGTTCCAAAGACAAACCATTTTCTTATGGTTTTGGAATGCATGAGGGTGAGTAAATGATGCAGGATTTTTTTATTTTTGGTGAACTATCACAGTTGAAGTCATATTTTATTTTTATAAACTTGGGTAATTCTGACATGATGTAAATGATCCAGTAAGTTAACAGAAGTGAAACACATGCTTTTGCTCTTTTTCATGCTCTGGTAGGCTTGGGCATGCTTCTTTCTGTAGTGTGAGAGTATTATCTCTCAGTTTCGATGCACCACTATATTTGTTTCTATCTTGAAAATCCCCTCTACCCCCCAGTATGTTTAACCTGTAATCTTCACACTCTCTCCTCTCCAGCCTTCTCCTCACTCTTCTGGGGAGGATATGGAAATATCAGATGAAGATGACAACGCCATCACCACGACCCCCCATCCTGCTGCCTCTTCATCCGCCTCACCTGCACCCAGAGTACCCTCCTCCGCTGCCGCATCACATGTACGACTACGCCAGCTCCATAGAGCTCATGAGCCAGTACTGTGGAGGAGCACCCATGTCATTCCAGATGCAGACACACATGCTCAGTCGCCTCCACCAGATGCGAATGGCCTCCTCCAACAGCTCTACGGCACCCCCTGGAGAAGTCCCGCCCGCCTCTGAATATCCCCCGTCATTTCACCTCCATTCGATACCCCCTCCACCGCACCACCCACACCACACATATATGGACCAAGATGGGAATGTTGCCACCCACTATGACCAGGACCACCGCTACATCCCTCCTCACTTACCATATGCCTACCCGGACCCTCATGCCGCACAGCTTCCGCAGCATCACACCATCCCACCTCCCCACAGCCCCTGGCCTCCTCACCTGCTACCCCAGCAGTTTCCTTCCCACTATCCTCCACCTGGCTTCGGCACAGTGCCTGGCATAGATGGAGAGCTGTACGGAGCGGTGGGTGACCAGATGGCCATAATGGGCCACAACCCCTACGAGGCCGTAGTGCAGCAGGTACTGGCAGCTTTGATCGAGGAGATGAAGAACATCATGCAGAGGGACCTGAACCGCAAGATGGTGGAGAACGTCGCCTTTGGCACCTTCGACGAATGGTGGGACCGCAAGGAACAGAAAGCCAAGGTAACATCAGAGAGTTTTCTAGATCTGACCACCTAATGATTTTTGGCATAAAAGAAAAATCAATAATTTTAACCCATGCAATGTATTGTTGGTTATTGCTACAAATATAACCGTGCTACTTATGACTGCTTTTGTGGTCCAGGGTTACATATGTTTTTTGTGAATGACCTTCGGGGTTCATGAACTGTACCACCTCTTGCTATCATTTTCTCAGCCATTCCAGACAGCCATGCGGGGAGTTGCAGTGGTGCGTGAGGAGGACAAGAAGGACGAGAAGACCAGCAACCGACCTCGGGAGCCACTCATGTCTCTGGTAGACTGGGCCAAGAGTGGAGGCATGGAGGGTTTCTCCCTGCGGGGGGCCTTGCGTTTGCCTTCTTTTAAGGTGCTTGATGTTATTTACCACCTATTAAACATTTAAAAACAATTTCTTGAAGAAATTATAACAGAAATAGAAATATTTTCAATTAATTGTATTGAAAAGACTGGCACACTTTATTACCATGATTTGAAATAATCTCGTGAAAATGATGTTACTAATGAGGAATATGTTGTTCAGGTGAAGAGGAAGGAGCCTCAGGAACTTGTGGAGGGTGGTGAGCTGAAGAGAGCCAGGCCTTCCACTCCACCCGATGAGGAAGATGAGGGTATGTCTCTAATGCTATGGTTTAGAGCTGGATTAATGACATTACCGTAAATTGCTCTCTACTCTCTTTCTCTCTCAGACTCGTATCAGGGCAAATCTGCCGACACTGCTGCAGGAAGAACAGAAGAGAGGCGTGTGGCAGACAGAAGAGCAGCCAGGAGAAGAAGCAGAGCAAAGGCACGCAAACCATATGACCTGGACAGTGAGGGAGAAGAAACATCAGATGGTTCCTCCTCGGAGAAGGTTGGTTTATTTACCATTATGTCTGTCATTTTTGTGTGTCTGTGTAGTAGTGGGCATTGGCTGGTTGGGAGCATCCCATTAGCATCCCATCCATTGCAGCTTAAGCCTCACATAGCCTGCACAAGAATTAGAACTTGAATTTAAACTTGCGTAAAATTTGTAGAATTATTATTATAATTTTTTTTAAAGTTAATCTAATATTTATATTTTACTATATTTCAGTCAACATCAACAACAACCATTTTCAATAGTTTTACCTTTAGTTAATGATACAAGCGCTGTTTAAAATTGACCAACTTAACCGAACAACCTTTTAAATTGAACAATTTATCTGTTCTGAATAAAAAAAATATATATATATATATACCAATACGATTATATATAAATTGAATATCGTATTGGTAATGTTTAGATTCTGCTTTTTTTCCCCTAATAAATTTTACACACAAATACATAACATGCATGGCAATGAGTCTTTATCTACAAATTTAAATATTTAAATGTTAATTTAAAAATTGACAAAAGATAAAATGTCATCAATATTAGATGTAAAAAAAATTTTTTTCTATTGAACTTGTCACGATACCATGTGTGATGCCTGTGAAGGCAAAAATCTATCAATAGTGGCCAATAGTTATGTAGAGTGTTGCCATTCTAAAATTTGGTTTTGAAAATATGAAAAAAATCATTTTTTGCAGAATCTTATACTTAGTTGTTGTTCTTGTTTCATTGAATAATGGCTAGATGGCAGCATTTCTTTTTTTCTTCAAATGCTGTGGGGAAATTCACACAACTTTCAGCAGATGAGTTCAAACATGTTATTGCAACTGGTGATTCCTCATTGTTTTATGTTTAGGAGGAGGATGAAGACAGTGACAAAGTGGATGAGTCAGAAGGTATGCAGCTGTCTTGTTTTGTCTTTTCTACTGTGCTCATTAATTTGGGCTCTTGTTGCTATGTGCACTTTATTTTAGGCTTTTATGTGTCTATGCAATCATATCTTGTGGGTCTATGTGTTTTGCTATCTAAAGCTCCGTTCACACCAAGAACGACAACTATAAAGATAACTATAAAGATAATGATATTAGCGTCCACACCAGCAGATGATATCGTCTGTAAATTCTCTAGCTCGTGATAGTGGCAATTTTGATGATTCTGATTGGGTGTCAATGTTTTTATCGCTCATCAGCTGGAAAAAAATCGTTCTGAAAGTGATTCCAACGATATCGTTTCTCTGTGCCTTTATTGTTATAGCTGTGGTGTGGACTGCTATTCTTTAATATTGAGAACGATTTTTAGAACTATATCTTTATCATTATCTTTAAAAGTTATCGTATTTGGTCTGAATGGGCCTTAACTCATGCTTTTAACTTTCTCATGCTTCTCAGATGTAGCCCTTAGTGCAGACAGTGATGATGAAAGCATTTCTTCCTCCTCTTCTGAGAGCTCATCATCATCATCCTCCGCATCATCCTCTTCCTCCGATGAGGAGGATGAAGAGGACGGTGAACAGGCCGCTGAGAGTGAATCATTGGACACAATGGATGAGTCTACGATGGACAGTGTGGCGGCTATAGATGCAGAAAAGGATGATGGGTACATTCCTCTTTGAGAACTGATACTGAGAAGAAAGTTGTGTCTTCACGGATACATTGACATGCATTGTGTCTGTTTCTTACAGGGACAAAGCAAGTCTTGACCAATCATCAGTGACTGCTGCAGAGGTCAAACAAGGTCAGTTAAATATCACTTTTTACAAAAACAAACAAAAAAAGAAGGCATGGTCTGCCTAAAGATGAAAATTGTTTCACTTACTCACCCTCATGTCGTTACAAACCTGTTTGATTCTCTTTGTTCTGCTGAACACAAAATATATTTTGAACCAAACTGTTTAGTTTCACATTGAATTCCATTGTATTTTTTGTCCATGTAATGGAAGTCAATGGAACAAAACTGTTTGGTTGGCGTCATTCTTCAGAATATCTTCTTTTGTGTTCCACAGAAGTCAGTCAGTCATACAGGTTTGGAACAACATTAGGCAGAGTAAATTATGTTTTAATATTCCGAAATTTTATTTTCAAAAAAGTGAAGTTTAGTTCACTTTATTCTTTCTTTCACTACCAGAAGAAGAGAAAACGGCTACAGCTGTGCCTCCATCTTCTCCGTATCCCCGTCCTTCTTCACCCTTTCTCCTCCTTCCCCCACTCAAGAAACGGCGCAAGACTGTTTCTTTCTCGATGGAAGAGAGGGAGGTCAAGCCCTCCATTCTGTCACCTTCTGCTCCCTCTCCATCTCCCACTCCTGTCTCACAAGCTTCAGATGTTCCTACTTCCTCTTCTCCCGTAAGCACGCCCACAGCAGCTGCCCCAGCCACCTCCTCCAAGCCCGCCCCGATGCTCCTTCCGTTTGCTTCTCGTCCTAGCGAGAGTAACGCCCTGACCTCCCCTGCTTCCCCTTCCACCGTTCTTACCATCCCTCCACCGGTGCGTTCCCTGCGGCCTGATGAGCCCAAAAAGAGTCCAGGTCTCCCTCCATCCCCACAAACTCCCACAGCCAAAAACTCCTCCAAACGTGGCAAAGACTCTCCCAGAACGCCCCCGGCGCCCATCTGCCTCACTGTCCAGAACCTTCCACTGGACCATGCCTGCTTAGTCAAAGTGGCCTATGAGGACCCCGTCCCTACTCCAACCACGCAGAAGGGTCGTGCACGTGGTCGCCCTCGGACACTCAGCCAGTCGGCTTCCGCCCCTCACCTGCATCCCGCTCTGGAGGAGGAGGATGAAGAGGAGCTGGAGCAGCGGCTGAAACTCAGGGAGCAGCTGGGAGTGTCCAGCCTGCTGCAGCTAGCCTCTGCCCCCAAGCCTGACCTGTCTGTGCTGGCCGATGTGGCGCTGAAGATGGACCCGGAGGCAGATATTGACTCGGAAGAAACCGAGACCTCCGATGAGGCAGAGGAGCACAAGCTGGAGGAAGAAGAGGGAGACTTCTTCGCCCCGCACCCACGCCAACCACTCCCGGATCCAGAGGGTCTGTTCGTCCTGCAGGAGCACAACTATTCTAAAACTCCTGCTCATCCGCACCTCACGTCTTCACAAAAGAGGACGAAACAGGACCCCACGGTCCTTCTCCCTGCCGACCTCAACCAGCACGGTGTTCAGGAAGCCCCCGAAGAGGTCATCGGGGATGCTCTAGCCGCAAGAGGTGAGGCTCCAGAGCTATACGGGGACCTTTCCGGGATGGGCCTGCTGTGCGACGCCAGGGACACGGCTGAGACACAGACCAAGACCCTCGGCCCACCGCACAAAAGGAGAGGACCGATTAGCAAAGAGATGGAGATGGAAGAGAGGGGGAAAGGGAAGAGCAAGAAGAGAAGTAGGAAGGACAAAGAAAACGAGGAACTGCAAATCTCTAAGAAACAGAAGGAGAAACAGAGGAAACGGAAGTTAGAGGTTTGTGCTTCTGTCTGGTTCTCGTTAAATAACTTGTTGCAAGAGAATTCACCCTTAAGCATCAATTACAGTAATTGTCGTATGAGGATTTTGTGAGAAATTTCCACTAACAAGCTACTACTTCTCAATATGTAGTGATAAAGCATGAACAAAGTGACGTTGTTGGTTGTCATTGTGTTGCATTTATTGCCAGTAGAACAAAGACAAAAATATAGTCCAATGGGGGTGACTATAGAATTTTCTTACTGATTGTGATTGTCATTTGAAAGATTCAATTTTTTTTTGTTTTCAAACTCCCATGACTGATCTTTTATAAATGCCTTTTTTTTAAAATCAGCAATTTCGTATAACACTTTTACTCAAATAGATATTTTCATATATTCTCTCTCTATATATATTAGTGCTGGGCGGTATGCCGGTTCATGCCGAATACTTTTTTATTACAAATTATTTTTATGATATGAATTTTTAAAATTACGCAATACAATAGTATGTCGCTTAAACAACGTTCGGAATGCGACACTGTTTTGAAAGGGGTCCCTTTTCACTGTTGCACTGTGGTGAGGGCACAGCTGTATGTTACTAAGCGTGAAAGTTCTGAAACTGAAGCTGTAGAACTAATAGAACGTGATGACACAGAAGAACTCATCCACATTGACCGCCACATTGACCGCCACAAATAACCATCGCCCCCTGCCATCAGCTCCCGA